GAAGAAGCAGAAGGAGAGAGAGAACAAAGAAAGGAAGGTCCTTTTATCAGTTTTGGGGTGGGCTATTGCTTATTTAGGAGGAGTGAGCTACTTTTAACCTATCACAGGCCAGGTTGCTTTTATGGGCCCAGTCCTGCAGACACAGGTTTCAACTTTCCTGGACCACTGTGGCCTTGGCAGGGTAAGGAAACCAGAGATAAGGGTATGAGGTCATTTTAGGAGCCAAGATGTACCAGGAGAATGCAGCCTGTGAGGTGGCGTCACAGCATACTTTAACATGATCATTCCCTAACATGAGCTACATCTCCAGTCCTTTTTAGTTGTATTTTGGGATAAGAACTTGTTAAATTGCCCTCAGACTCACAATTCTTCTGCCTCAGTCTCTGAGTAGCAGGTTACTGGTATGGAGCACAGCCCCCTGCACCAAGGTCACCTAACAAGGAAAACAACATTGAAATGACCAGTCTGAATTTTGTGCTTTGCTTCTTCCTTCTTCAGCCTTTCACCTGCTATAAAAGCAACCTCTTCTGCTCAGCCCTTCAGAGTACTTATTCCATATGGTGGAGTAAAATGTCTCCCAGTTCAAGAACTGAAAATAAAGCCAGTTAAGATCCTTAAACTAAAGTTTTGTAATTTTTATCTTTCATCATCATCAGTGAAATGTTGTGGTAAAGTCCTTACACAGAGTAGGAGCTTAATAAATGTAATTTTTCTTCCTCCAGGGGATTCCTAAATATTTGTTTGCTATTAAACATGAAAGACCAGCACCAATCAGGGACATAGGGTACAAAGTCCAGGACACTTTGTAATTTATCTCAGTTACAGTGGAGAATTATGGAGATATGTAAATGACAGTATGAAGAGTACACCGGTTGCCTTCAGACAGAGGATAGAGGTTAGTGGTCGGGGAACTTTTCTGTTTTGTTTTAGAATTTCAAAACTCCACCCTTCATTTTCCAAATCAGAATTATTTAAGATGGGGACTGAAACTTTTTCTTCTTCTTCCTGGTAGTACTGGAGACTGAACTCAAGGCCTCACAAATAGTAAATAAACATTCTACCACTGCCCTGTGTTCACCAGCCCTTTTTTAATTTTTTGAGACAGGATCTCACTGAGTCCCTAAGTTACCCAGGCTCAATTTTTGAATCCTCCTGCTTCAACCTTCCGGAGTGCCAGGATTATATTATTAATTACAGGATTTGCATTTTAAATAATATTTTCAAGGAGTTCTTCAGTTTGAGAAAGCAAACCAAACCAAATCATAATACTGAACTCTTTCCACAAGTCATGCGGTGAGTCCAAGGACAAGTCACTCTTCCACCTCTCGATTGGTTACAGAATATAGGACCAAAGGTTGATGGTTACAGATGAACGTAATGACTTGATGCTGCTTCAAAACAGCCTGGACACATTGGTACAAAACGCAGCTCCCCCTGGTGCAGATTAACCACCACATATAGAAGGCACTGCTGAGGGTGAGGAAGGAGCTGTGTTACACGGAACTGTGACCATGGACTGCCTAAGTGGTGACCAGCTTTAGGCACAAGTGCTACGTACCGTGTTACCAGACTGCCGTGCAGAGGGAGGCATCAGAAACACCATTCTTCACTGTGATTTAAAAGCCTCGTGATCTTGGGAAAGTTACTTAATCACTGCAATGCCTTTACCTGTGAAAAAAGGATTATGATTTGATGATTTGATCTTGCCAATGAGATGTGTTGCCCAGTGCTTGAGATCTCACCGGCTGTTACCTACTGTGCATTCATTACCTGACTAAGAAATTTCTCTTCCTGCATTTGTTTCTTTAATACTCATATCAGTGCACCTCAGCTTCTCCATTAGTATAAGGAAGACACCTTACTGGAGCTGGGAGTTCAAAATGTAGCAGCACTTCCCATAAACTTTGCATCCATTTGAAGTATTAAGTTCTACAGCTCCACGATGGGGCTTGCACTCAGAACACCCTGCGTACAGTTTCTTGTTCAGCTAATTGTTCCAAGGAAAATAAAAACATCAGTCAGCCCACTTGCTTGCCCTTTCGTCTTAGTCATGCGCGCTAACAGTGAAATAATGTGCTCGTTTTCATACCCACACTGATCGCTCCAGGGGCCCTGCTCTGCCTGAGAGGTATGTCACAAAGCCTGGCAATGGGGCAGTGAATGGAGCAGCTCCAAGGGTTGTTTACCACTACCTTTTCATTTAAGCATAAAAACCATTTGACAAATACTAACTCACTATCTCCAGCGGAGCCAAATAAAACTTTTAAAGAAATAACTCTAATTTTCACGAATTGCATATGTGAGTTCATGCTGCTGCACATCAGGAATGAAAATTGCTATTATGATGATGTAATAAAGGACATTTGTGAATTTTATTCAGTTATTTCTGTTTAAATATGTAACAGCTTTCTTGAATCTGCAGGAAAAGAAAGTTTGGCCTTCATTATACAAACAGGTAATATCTGTGTTGCTGTTTCTGACAGCCAGTTCAGCAAATGCTCTAGTGGTGTTGTTTGCCAGCGGCACACAGAGAACTTCTTTTATGCTGACATTATTTTTCCCTCTACAGTAATGCATTAAAATTATCAATTTTAGGGGCTAAAGGCATATCTCAGTGCCAGAGTACTTGCCTAGCATGTATAAGCCCTTGGTTCCATTCCCAACATTGTAAGAAGAGGGAAAAGGAGAAGTAAGGGAGAGGAGGAAAAGAAAAGGAAAGGGGAAGGTGACTAATTTTATGGCATCTCTAAGCAGTTTGTCTACATTATAAGGTACCCAGATGAAAGAGATGTAAAACTTACATTGCCTCCTCTGCCAAAATGGCAGTGAGCAGAGTTATGAGCAATTCTGTGTTTTGTAGAAAATTCGAGGGAGGACATTTAGAGCAGCAGTATTACCACCCACACAGGTCAGTGATCACAGGTCCGTCTGCTCACCATTGACCAAATCAACGGAGGTCATTTATTTTGGTGAAAATGAAAAAAAAAAAAATTTCACGCTAGCTCCAAGCAGATGTAAGGGGTTCATTTGTCTTACTTCACTATCTTCCCGTGTCCAAGTGTGCAAGGGTCTTTTACATTAAGGAACAGAGAGGAGAAGGAATATAAGGAGATAACGGACTCCTCCACCCTTGCTCCATCCCTCCTGGATGCCAACATCCTGGTGCCAGCATCTGCACATTCTGTTTATTTGGCTGGGAGGAGAGGTGGTGATTGTGCCCTCAGCAGGAGGAGGTTTGGAAAAGCCAACCTCCTGGTGCCAGCACCTGCATATTTTGTCCACTCACCTGGGTATTTATGCCCTAGGCCTAAGGAAGTTTGGAAAAGCCACTTGTATGTAAAGGAAAAGTATATATTTTTTAAATGCCATTTTGCCTTGCCAGTTATAGCAGGACAGGTCAGAGTCAGGAGGAAAATTAAGGAGGATCATTAACCTAAAGAGGGCACAGCCACAGACAAAGACAGCTGAAGAGACTAAATGTGGAGAAAAAAATGGGATGGTAGAAATAGGATGATGCTATTCTATTGCTAGGGGCATGGGGATGGATGAAGGAGCTGAGAGCTGAGTACAAAATGCCTTCTCAGAGGACTAAGGAGGGACACTGGCTGAAAGAGAAAAATGGCACAAGATGGGATGTGGGAAAGACAGAAACAAAAGTTCAGAAACAGACAATAAAAAACTATATGGAATCCATGGAACTCAGCACCTCCATTGTTAGTTAAAACAGTCTTTTTTATAGAATCAATTTTTTTTTTTTTTGATACTGGGGATTGAACCCAGGACCTTGTGCTTGAGAGGCAGGTGAAGGCACCATTGACATAAATCCCAGGCAAAACAGCCTCCTTTAAAACACTAAAATAAAAATCAGAGGGACATTCTACTTCAGAGGTCATGCTTCACTGGAAGTAGATGGTTGCAGCTGTGCTTCCTGCTTGGGTTTATTTCTTTCTCTTTTGGCTGCTATTTTAATTTTTTGTTGCCTGGAATCTTGCCATATCCTTACTTGTGTTAAGCCTGAGCATGTTATGTTTCACCACTGAGCTACAGTCCGGCCACCTGCCCCTTTTCATTTAGTCTGGGGATGGAACCCAGTACACTGTATATCACTGTGGTTCTTGTTACATGTAGTTACATATTAACATCCATTTGGGCCAAGCCTCCCAAGTATTTCTGATTCAGTACGTTTGAATGGGGGCCCAGGGATCTCCATTTTTAAATACTTCATTGTATTTGTTGGAGGTGGTGGAGCACCTGTTGTTGAAGAAGAACCAGTCCAGAAGATCAGACTGTGACATGGTTAGACTCTTTTCTCAAGAGGAAAGGATTATCTAATTCTTTCTCTCTCATTTTCTTTTTTCTTTCTTACCTGTCCTCTATCTTTCTTTTCCCTGCTTCTCTGAAATTCAGTTTACTCCATGAGTATGGAGGATGGCATGAGGTTCCCAGAGAAGTACCTGTGCTGTTTCTTCTGCCTTAGATGTTCCTCTTTCTCATTCACCAGCCTGAGGCCCTTTCCTCCCTGGAGTTTCAGCCACTCCTCCCTGGGAAGTCCCTCCAGGCAAGGCTGGCATTCTTTTAGTGGTTATCCTAGGCTCGCTGGCTGCATTTGCTGTTTGTTTGCAGATTTTAAAATCTGCAGGGAAGAAGTTGAATTTTCTTCACTGCTGTTACCCTGAACATTGCAGAGCCAGAAGGACAGAAGGCATTCAACCCATGTTAGTTGAAGGGCACATTAATGAAGTCGAAACTGGCATCCTAATCAGCAATGTCAAAGATGCACGAATACCTGGAATGCTGTCCACACCACTTAGCAAGAAAGGAAGTTGACCCTCGCAAAAGGAAATAAACGTCCTAGTATTATACTTGAGGCTAGCAGTTTTTGTACAATGCCTCCAAGTTTTGGGGTACATTAATACCTTAAAGGCCTCTCTGTCTCTTTTATTCTCTCTCTCTCTCTCTCTCTCTCTCTCTCTCTCTCTCTCATTGAACAGTGTCTTCTAAAAATCCATGTAGCTCTATTTTACAGATGTGCAAACTGAGTCTCAAAGCAGAAAGTTTCCTGGGGTAATGGACAGAGAAGGCAAATCTCAACCTGAGGTTGACTCTAGGCCAAAACGCCAACAAAACTTTCTGTAATGATGTAAATCCTTGGTCATTAGCCAGAGGTGGCTATTGAGCACTTGAAATATGGCTGGTGCAACTGAGAAAATGACTGTTCAGTTTTATTTCATTTGTGCTTAATTTTTTATCGCCACAAATTGCCAGAGGTTAACGTATCAGCCAGTATAGGCCTAAGGCTGTCTATAATGTTAATGTACAAACTCTGTACTGTTACACTATTTTCTGTTTTGAGTTGCTCCCCTAGCAGTTCCTAAGATAGAGATTTGAATGCAATTCCTTCAGAGGTGTTCCTAGGCAACAGAAGAAAGCATGGGGAAGCAAGACAGGAAAAGGGAGAACCTAATAAATGCGGCATTGGTAGGGTGTGTGTACTTGGGATTCACACTTCCAGGAAACATTTGCAGGCCTTACAGAACACACTCCTTCATAATTGTTCTGTCAAGGGACAAGGAAGTGGTCATATCCACCTACCAACTCCCATGCCTCCTTGGCTGAAGGGTGCTGGGAGGGTTACTCCCACATCGCCCTGAAGCCCTGCACTCCAGCCTGCCTCCTGTAAGGGCCAGTCATGCACTTCTCTGTGCCTAGATAAGGCTTTGGGATAGAGTTTCAGGGGCTTGAAGCTGAGACAGACTTCCCAAACTTCCTGTAAAGTCCAGGGTGGATCAAGGGAGAGAGGGTCTGAGTAAAGTATGTTGACTCTCATTTTAAACTGACCAGATGAGCTCATATTAGCATTTTATCTGAGGTAAGAAGAGAAGGGCTCCAGATTGAGTTAGAAAGAAAGGTGCACTATTTTTAAAAGTTTCAAAACTGTAGCCTTAAACCATGCTCCTGCCTTTTTCCCTTAATTACCAAATTGTGTCCTGTTCAGTGTCATTTCTAGCAAGCATTATACTCTAAATACTCCTGCAGTCTGCAACTCACCATGTAGCCCTTAAAGAGCTGAATTAGGACTTTTCAGGGGAGCCA